GGGAGTGATCCTCCAACGCCCCAGAAGACATCCGAGAGCCCCGAATCGCCTCTGGGGCACCTCTGGGACCGCCACGCCCGCCATGCGCTGTCGGGGCCTGGGCCCCAGGCCCCCACGCCTTGTAGAAGGGGATACACACACATACATACATATATATATATATATATATATATATATATATATATATATCGCAGTGTAACGAAGCCCCCCCACCGGGAAATCGAGTTTCGAGTTCGCGTAAATCGAGTTTCGAGTTCGCGTTCGTGCCGTGCGCGCGGGCGAAGCGAAGCTGCGCGGGCCAGCGAGAGAAATTCACTCTGCTGTCGCTAGGGGTCCGCCAACACAAATGTTCCCCCCACGGCCTTGTCAAGCGGTAACCCACATTGTCCCGTCGGTTGCCGGCCGGTTGCTCGTCATGGTTGCTCATCATGGATGCTCATCATGGTCGTTCATCATTGTCCCGCTGGTTGCTCACCATGGCTTCTCATCATTGTCCCGCCAGTTGCTCATCATGGTTGCTCATCATTGCCCCGCAGGTTGCTCATCAAGGTTACTCATCATTGTCCCTCTGGTTGCTCATCATGGTTGCTCATCAATGGTTGCTCATCATGTTTGTTCATCATTGTCCCGCAGGTTGCCCATCATGGTTGCTCATCATTGTCCCGCCGGTTGCCCATCATGGTTGCCCATTATGGTTGCTCATCATGGTTGCTCATCATTGTCCCGCCGGCTGCTCGTCATGGTTGTTCATCATGGGACACCACCATGGTTGCTCATCATGGGACACCTTCTCTTGCTTCGCCTCCTCATATCATATTTTTTGATTGTTTATTTCTACCCCAATTACTTAGATCTTTCGTTCGGCTCAAGGGTGCAGGCCACGCGACGCAAGTCGGTCAGCTCGTCGCCTTTTTGCTAGGACGAAGGCTCGATTGCCATTCATCGCCCCCCAAAGAGGATGGCGGCCACTTTCATTTGGCATCATGGGCCGGGGGGTGCCATTCTTGGACCACGTAGTCGTCAGAGGACACATAAATGCCGTCATGTATTGGCCACACCGTCTTTCCAGTTCTCTTGCTTATGTGAATTTGCATGTATCAGCATCTCCTCATCGTCATCACCACCATCACCATCATCATCATGACAGTATTCATCTTCATCCGCCTCGTCCTCCTCCTCCTCCTCCTCCGCCTCCTCCTCTTTCCCCTCCTCCTCCTCCTCCTCCTCCTCCTCCTCCTGCCCCTCACTGTCCTCCTCCTCCGGCTCAAGGCGCCCGCTGCGGTCGCGCTACCCCCCCAGGGCGCCCCCCTCGCGCATTTCTGCGGCCGGGCTATCCACGAGATGGGGGGCCGCGTGGATGACATGAAGAAGGCGGAGCTCATGAAGTACGCCGCCAGTCTTGGACTCCCCACCAGGAAGGTGGCGCCGACGCAGTGGCGCGCAGTCAAAGACGTGCGCGAGGATTGCAAGCTGCGGGAGGCCGCTCAGCGGCAGCCTTCCCCTGCGCGCGCGGGCGAGCCAAGCGCTGCCAGCTCCGACCTGGCGGCGCCGTCAGTTTCACATGGGTCCGCGTTGGTGCAGGCCCCGGCGCGCGTGGGCGAGCCAGGCGCTGCCAGCTCCGGCCTGGCCGCGCCGTCCGTTTCACGCGGGCCCGCGTCGGTGGGGGCACCAGGTGCGCGCGCGGGCGGGTCCGGCTCTTCCAGTTTGAGCCAGGCACAGGTAGCGCCGTCCGCCCCTGCCACGTCTGCACGGAAACCGGTCGTGGGGGCGGCCGACGTCACCTCCAGCGACGCGCGGAACATGAACCGGAATGAGTTGCGTGCACTGGCGACCTCGTTGGGGGTCGGGACTCGGGAGAACGCAAAGAGCTCGGAGGCGCTCCGGGCGGCGTGCTGTCGCGCCCTCCCGCAGGCCCCGCAGCGACAGCACTTCTGGGGCGTGCGCGAGTGAGCCAGGCGCTGCCAGCTCCGACGTGGCGGCGCCAGCAGCTTCGCGTGAGCCCGCGTCGGGGTCTCGCACTGCCAGCTCGAGCCAGGCGCAGGTTAAATCGCCCGTCTCCGCCACCGCGACACAGAACCCGGCTGCGGGGGCGGCTCATGTCACCTCGACCGACGTGCAGAACATGAACAAGAAAGAGTTGCGTGCGCTGGCGGCCTCGTTGGGGGTCGCAGCCAGGGGCACCCAACAGTCCACGAGGCTTCTCCGCTCGGCCTGTTGTCGTGCCCTCAAAGGGCAGGTTGGGATAGCTTCCTTTTTCCAGCCTGCCGTGGCTCCAGTTGCCCCGGGCCGAGAAGCAGGCGACGCGCCAGTCTCTGACAGCGCATTCGCAGTGGATCTAAACCCAGCGAAGCCGCGCGAACGACCGAGGGACGTTCGCAAATCGTTGCGGTTGCGTAAACCAGCCTGGTTGTCTGCACAGACAGCACGCCAAAAGAAAGTTGGGAAGCGGCGCGCTCAGCGCGCGCTCCGTAAGAATCGCATCCACGACAAGGTCCGCGACAATCGCCCTCAGCGCGCATCCCGCAAGAAGCTGGCGGCTGCCAAGCGGGGCAAGAAACGATATCAAGAGGACTTCGCAGAGAGAGAGAGAGAGAGAGAGAGAGAGAGAAAAAAAAAGAGAGAGAGAGAGAGAGAGAGAGCAAAGCGCAAGCATCGAGTGTTGAAATCCCGCAGGGAGGCGCCTCGCGCGAATCGGAGGCCCGTGCTGCCGAAGACCGCCAGGGCAGAGCGTGCTGGTGTCCTCGGCAGGGAGGGCAGCTGGAAGCGGACGGCGGAAGAGTCTGCCAGGCTCTGCCAGCAGGACGGTCCCAGTCACTTACCGCCGTGTTACGCGGGGCTGGACCAGGAACACCAGCGGAGGCTGACCTCGCAAATGTGCGGGTGCCTGGATGACGTGCAGTGGGCAACGTGCGTGGTGTGCTAGCGTGCGTGGTATGATTTGCCTGCCGAGTACGAATTCTCGTACACGCAACAGGGACCCAGGGCGCAGCAGGCTCCGTGGCTTGACCCGGGCGCGAGCGTCATCACGAGGGCTGGCAAGAAAAGCCACGTGAACCAGTGGCGCCTGGAAGCAGTGCGCTGCCAGTGCACCCATCGTCAACTGGGACGTCGTGGGCTGAGTGCCGCGTCGCGCACCGGCAAACCGAACGACACAAGTCGCCCAAACGAAGGAACAAACAAAAAAAATCCGCCACGTCATCCACACCATCATCGCCCATCAGCACCACGTTCATCACAGTTGTCGTCATGAGCCACCCCCCTCCCCCCACTCCCCCACAACCTCCTTATCACCCGCAGGGTGGTGGTATACGTATATATGTATTTATGTATACATACATACATACATACATACATACATACATACACACATACATACATACATACATACATACGTACATACATACATACGTACATACGTACATACGTACATACGTACATACATAACTACCAGTGTATAGATCCCCCTCCTCTCTCCCTCTCTCCCTCCCTCTCCATATCTCCCTCTCTCTCTCTCGTTCTCTGTAGCCCCCCCGCTCTGTGTTTCCCTTCATGTCTCTCTGTCTGTCTCTCTCGCTCTCTCCCTCTCGCACTACCCCCCTGTTCCACTACATGGTCCTGCGCTGCTCTGATCAGGGCAACTCCCCTGGCAATCGGTTCTGGAAAGGCTGGTGGGGATACGCGAAGCGTGAATACCATGGAGAAGAGGACGGGCGGAGTCTCGTGAGCCCAACGCTGCTCGCAACTGGCCGCCAGTACGTCCATCGCATTTTGCCTTCTCCTCCCTTGCTGACCTCCCTTCACAAGGCCGCAACCGACGGCCGAGGCAGGACTGTTGGACCCAGGGAGGCCTCCGATCCCTGGAGGCGGGGAGGCGGCTCGGACTCCGGGCACGCACACGCACTTTCCCAGAGGCGAGGTCAAGCGAGGCGGGGCGCTCAAGGGGAGACGCGATAAAGTGCAATGCTGGCCTCCGCCAGGGGTGGGACCCGGGGTGGCAGGCTGAGGACCAGAGAGCAGGAGCAAGAGGAGGGCACACATCGGAGCCCCCTCGACGCAGAAGGATGCACGCGATCCGGGAGGACGGTGCTGATCTGCCCTCCCGCGCAGGAAGGGCCGCGGCCCGGGCCGCGCCCCCCAGTCCCCGAAGATGAGACAGTCGCGCTCCCAGGCGCGCAGGGGAGGGAGGGGCCTGACGACGCCCAGCATCGCACTGGCGGGCCTCCTGGCCGCCCCACCCCCGCGCACCCCCCCACCTTGGCGCTGCTCGAGGAGGTAGGTACGCGGCGTGCCCTAGCCGGGTCACGCCGTGGTCAGCCCGCAGAGAAAGATAGCCAGAAGCAGAAGGAAGAGGAGCCCCCCAGCGCAGGACAAGACAGACAAGACAAGAACAAATATGATCCATGACTAGCTCCTGAACTCAGAAACTCCTGAACTCCCGAATCCATGTGTGCTGGATATGTGACGCTCATGCTTCCGTAGGCCTTGTACCCAGGCTGCACCTAAGGTTCACCTGCAGCACCATCCCTTGGAGGGGGAGGAAAGTTGTCGGCGCGCACAGGGGGGTAGGGGGAAGGGGGAAGGCTTCGTAGAAGGCGGCTGCCTCTTTGACAACGCCGGTCGCCCTTCTAAGAAGCCGGAGACGCGCCGCATCTAGAAGCACCCCAGCAGCTTCTTAGAAGCAGGGAACGGCTTCCTAGACGCAAAAACAGTTTCTTAGACGCAAGCCGCCTGCTTCTTAGAAGCACGCCAGGAACAGCTTCCAAGACGCATCCACAAACTGAGGGGGTATTTCTAAGAAGCCTTCCCCCCCTGCGCGTGGCCGAGAAACAGGCCCGGTGGGTACGTAGCCGCTGGCAGACCCGTCCACCATCACACCGAATGTCGCAGGATGCTGTCGCCTGGTGTCTGGCGCTGCACATCACGCGCCCGAGCGGTCCGTCGCGCTCACGATAACGATCGGGCTGCCTGCTCCTCCTCCCTCCCCCCAAGCCGTGACCCTCCTGCGCGAGCTGCTCGCAGAACTCCCGGTAGAAGAGCCGGGGAGCGGCGCTGGCGAAGACCCCGCCCACGAAGTGCACCTCGCGAGGATCCTCAGAGCGTGTGCTGGCGCCAACGTGTGCTTGTCCACCGAAGACCGTCAACGCGTCGCAAGCAATCCGATGATGGCCGACACGGGCTGCATGCTATCGGCGGGGCTGGGCGGGATTAACACACACGCTGGACTCAGACACGTCCTGAGGATCACCGGCTCGGTAGTGAGGGAAAGGGGTCCGACCTGCGTTTCAGCCAGTCTACCTTGTTGAATGCCCCATCCCTGGAAGTGCCCCCAGAAACCAAGGCGGAACAAAAACTCCTCCATGGTGATGGTATCAGGTTCAGGTGTCAAAACAACAATTACCAATCTTGTCCAGGGGTGCGCTCTGCGCAGCCGAGCCAAACTAATCGGACCCCATCTTGGGGATGCCAAGCAGATACCGATGCCGCTACTTCCAGGACGTTTCCGCGGGTGCGCTGGCGACGAGGGCCCCCAGGAGGCCCAACAAGGTGAAAACGAGGGAAGGGTAGCGGTATGGGTACCTTTTCATCTTCTGACCATCTGGGAGACCTAAAACCTAACGGAAAGCTAGAACCAACCCGCATGATAAGAGCCCGCATGCAAAGGTGTGGGGAGGCCCTGTCGACAAGTTGCGAGCGAGGCGTGCGATTAGCAATACAAGGACCTTTAACCCTTTGGGAGGGGACCTACGTAGGAGGGCCAACAAGTGTGAGATAGGGTGTCTTTGCTGCAGAAGTATCTGACCAAACTGACAACATTGATTATCCCTACTGTTAGACTGGGTCGATGATGGCAAACTCGAACGCCCCAATAACTCTAACTGGGTCTCCAAAAAGCCTCCCCGAATTCCTGAAACATCTTCGCGCCTAGAAATCTCAAACGAAATCTCCAACAAATTTGAGCGCCTAAAAAACTCAAGCGAAATCTCCATAACATCTCCGTGCCTTAAGAATCTCCAACAAATCAAACAAACTTCGCGACTTACGAATTTCCAAAACATTGAAAACATCTTCAACAAATCTTCGCGTCTTAAGAATCCCCCAACAATGTTCAATACATCTTCGCGTCTTACGAATATAGAAAAGTAGCCACAAAATCACCAACGAATCTCCGAAGAATCTGACTGGCCGAAGATGTTCCGCAAATGTTCTAAAGATGTCCTGCAAATGTCCCGGACATTTCCCCCGAGATGTTTTGAGCTTGGGGATTTTCCAGAAAGATTTCCCTGGAAATGTTTCGAGCTGGGGATTTTCCGGAGACTTTGAAAATGACCAAACTCAGTTTGGAGATTTTCCCGAAGATTGAAATGCCAAAAGGGCCCCGGTCATGTTAGCCATATTGGCCCAATCTATTCTAGTGCGAAGACGGGGACCCAAGTGAGGCCACGCCTTCATCGTGCTATTCGGGTTATGGGTTTTGTTCTCTGTGAGCGCGGCCAGCGGAAGCGGCCAAGGATGGGCCGAAGAGGGGGGTGCAAAGGCAATTGTGGAAAACGGTTCCTCCTTACTATGCGGGCTGACTGTGCCTCCCGAGCACAAGCCAGTCCGCCAGACGACCGGGGCGGCCGCAAGGCCCTCGACACGAGGAGGAGCACCACGGCGCGTGGCTGCGTGCCCGCCGGCGGCCGCAGCACGCTGCAGCCCGCCAGCTCCCGCCACTCCTCGGGGGAGGCTCAGACCCAGACGTGCTCGCGTCCTGGACAAAAACCAGGACGGATGTGCTGTTTCGTCGTTCTGTTCGACTTGTTCTCCTCCAGCGCCTGCGGCCTTTGCCTGCGGCCTGTGGGCGCGACGCCGCTCCCAGCCCACTGCCAGTACGCATCAGCAACGGCTGGCCGCATCGGCCACTCCTGCCGAACACCTTCCTGCTGTGAGTGTCCTCCTCCCCTCCTAAATTGCTCCGCGGCCGCGCTCTGCCCTGTCACTCTCTCTCTCTCTCTTTTTTTTTCTCTCTCTCTCTCTCTTTCTCTTGCTCTCTTGCAGCCAGACAATTCATACGCTTTGCCCCAGCCGCTCGAGCGAGCGAGTGGATTGCCTCTGCCGCGCCGCGGCGGAAAAAGCGACGGAAAAAGTTGTCCGTCGTTCTCGGCCTGAGTCGGGCGGGTATTACTGGGGGGTGGCCTAGATGGAACCCTTTCGTTCGGGCCCGTTTAGGGCCCCAGCTGGCTTCACAAGGGAGCCCAACGGGTCCCCTGTAGGCCCTTCTCTAAAACTCCTACTGGGGCCCCCCCCCCATCTACAACCTGCCCGAGAAGGATGGATATGCCTCGTCGTTTCCGGCCTCGGGCCTCTGGGGGCCCTCGCCAGCCCCCCACAGCGTCACCAGGCGACTCGAGATGAAGAACCGCTCCCGGGGAAAGCGTCGGGACTTCCGGGGACCCCGCGTTGCAAAACTTCAGGACATCACCTGTCTGGGGAGACCACCGCCAGCAAAAGCGCGCTGGGGGGGAGCCACCATCGTAGGGACAAGGCCCAGACATGCTCGCGTCGGGAAGAAACCAAGACGCACGGCTTTGGGCCGTCAAAGCACGACTCAGGATGAAAAACCAATCCCCTGAACATGGTCGAGAATATCGAGAAATCAACGCCCGTTTTGTCTTCATCCGCGCGAGAACGCTGGTTACCGGCCCCGCGACCCCGACCCCTCCCCCCCTTCCCTGGTCACGTCACGATTCGCGCTGGCGCCGTCTGGAACCAGCCACCCTTGAGCATTCCCAGACGGCGGTGGCGCGAATCGTGACGTCACCAGCCTCCTCCGTCCCCCTTTCCCCTCGGTCACGCCCGTTATCGCCAGGGGATACAAGAGAGAGAGAGAGAGAGAAGCCGTGCACGTCAGAGGTGCATTGGCAAAAAACCACAGCGAAATGCGATGCGAAGCCTCCGGCATCGCTGGCTCCATGCACAGGGAAGGCTTGCCAATCTCGTCATGCATACCCCGCTCGCCAAAGAGATGGTGTCCAGACAGGTGCCAGCACCTTCGCCCCAAGGGTGCGCTGCGGCCAACATCTCGAGGCGCCGCCAGCCGTGGCGACGAGGGAAGGGCAGCGGTATGGGTACCTCTCGGTGGCACGCCTGATCGTCGCCCGGCATACAGTCGGGGCGTTGACCTAAGGAACCCTAAATAAGGAACGAGGCCCCTTTTCCCACAAGTTGAACTTCGATTTCCCATCGAAACCCTAAGCAAAACCAAAGGCGAACTGCAAAACAACTAAGGAACACCGAGCCCCTCCCCAACGAAAAGGGTTCCTTCCTCAGCGCCCCGACTGTACTGATCGACGCTCGGGCGTGCACCATTTCATCATGCGACAAGGCGCCCCGCGGCGTTCCGATCGCGGGCCGGTCTGTCACGACCGCCTGGTCGCGGCCGATTTTGAAGCAGACCAGTCGCGCGCGAATTTGGATCTTGAAATAAAATCGGCAGCACCCGATCTCGTCGGGCGCGATCGAAAAGCTCTAATACCTAAAGATCTTGGGATGAGGAGGAGGGATAATGGAACTCACGGAACATTTCGTCGTCCCCATGGCGCCCAGTGTCGCCTCAAAGCGGACATGGCGCCTCTCCCTCACATAGCGCTGCTGGGCGCTATTGGGAGGTATTCGGCTCTGTGTTGCCGCTATTCGGCGATACTGGATGCTGCTGGGCGATATTCGCCGATAGACTTCCAATCCAAGTTAGGCAACAACTCCCGCGCATTGCTGCCGAAGGGGGGTGGACGCCCAGATCTCCGACGTCATGATTTGTTCACAACGTCAGCCCCCAGAAGTCTCGGCCTCCTTCCCTGTGGCGTGCTCCTTCATCCTGCGCCGTTTTGTTCACCGTCCCGAACAGCCTGGTGGCGCAAACCCAGTGAGGGCCCCCAGAGACCGAAAATAGCAACAACCCCCCCGCCTCTACTTTTTCGTGACCCGAGGGGGTCTTGGACTGGGGGGTCAAACGTCGGACCAGGGACCTCTCCTGGGGTGCGTTCTGGCTAGAATCTAAAGGCGAATCCAGCCGTGGCGACGAGAAGACCCCCAAAGGTTGAAAACGCCTTGACCCTCGCAGTTCGAAGTTCGAGGGAGTCTGGGGTGGTGGAGGGGGGGGACGAAACTTGCACACCACTCGATTGGCCGTCCGAGATGGGTACGGAAATTAGCCTGGCGAAAAGCCCATCCGTCTGCAATTGTGGGCATCGTCGTTGCACCGCATTCGGTCGAGCTCCCTATGTGGCCACCAAACGTTTTAAGGGGTGTGCCAAAATGGGTGCAGTGGGTGCATGCGAACGCTGGCATGGGGGCCTTCGGTGGGGCTCCCTTTGGAGCCACGCAACGTGTGAGATGTATGCCAAAATTGGTGCGGTGGGCGTATTCGAACGCTGGCGCTTGGGTTGTCGGTAGGGTTCCCTGCTGGGCCACGAAGCGTGCGAAGGGTGCGAAAATGGGTGCGGTGGGCGCATGCGAACGCTGGCATTTGGGCCTTCGATGGGGCTCCCGATGGAGCCACGAAATGTGTGAGGGGCGTGCTAAAATGGCTGCGGTGGGCGCATGCGAACTCTGGCAATCGGGCCTTCGGCGGGTCTCCCGATGGGGCCACGAAACGTGTGAGGGGCATGCCAAAACGGGGCGCATGCGAACTCTGGCACTTGGGCCTTCGGTGGGGCTCCCGATGGGGTCACGGAACGTGTGAATGGTATATCAAAACTGGTACGGTGGGCGCATGCGAACACTAACATTTGGGCCGTTCGGTGGTGCTCCCTATGGGGCCCCGAGGCGTGTGAGGGGCGTTCCAAAATGGTGCGGTGGGCGCATGCGAACGCTGGCATGTGGGCCTTCGGTACAGCTCCCTGTGGGGATCCGACTCGTGTGAAGGGGCGCTCCAAAATGGGTGCGGTGGGTGCATGCGAACGCTGGGCATGTGGGCCTTCGGTGGGGCTCCCGATAGGGCCACGAAACGTGTGAGTGGTGT